TGTGATCGTTCTTTATATGATCAAGGGCTGAGCTAGACGTCTGGTTGACTGTTTGGTCATTAGGTTCGTCTTGAGGCTCGATAATGGTGATTACTGGATAAACATGAACGGAGCTGACATTTTCAGTTGGTTTTCCGGCACTAACTTCTTCTTTTATCTTGAATTTCTTTTCTTTTGGCAAAGTTTCTCTTATCTTTGGAGCTGGCCTTTTTGGTTTGAAGCAGTCATCTTTGGTCTTGTAACCCAAGTTTAGTGTGGGAAAAGGGTGAGAAGTCGTTGGCTTTCCCTCTACGAAATGCTCGGAGCAAACACGATCGTCAGCAGATGGAAGCCAATTATTACCTGTCTTTGGATCTTMTCGATTCACTGCTTTTATCCACCTCTYCCTTTCCTCTTGATTACTTTTTTCGGTCGGGAAAGGGAATAAAACAAACGGCYATGTACATAAACAAGCATCCTGATCATGGCGGCATCCATGTTCTATGCACTCACTATTTTTCCATTTATGAAGGCGATAAGTACCATTACTACAGCCTAGGACGGCACAAATTCTCATACTTCAAAGACGGTGGTTTCAATTGGATAAAATATGGACAAAATATAAAATTTGTGACGGTTTTTCTTACGGGACTAACAGAGCTGATAGTTCTGTCCGTTGTGTCGCCCGTTCTCGCCCATCGGTTTTATCCCGACTTAGTACCAGTTCCCCCTCATTTATGCTTTGTGCGCATGCGCTACCGAAACACCGATTTCGCTTATTGTTAAAAAGTATTAATACAATTAGCTATTGAATAACAACAGCTGACAAAACAAACAGACACAATTTTCCAACGCTTTAATATACCATGATATACTGTTCAAACTAGCAAAAGCAAAAACAAAACTCAAACTTCTTGAAACAGAGTTAGTCGGCGTTCAGTTAAAAATGTACCTAGCTCAATGACAGTGGGAAGCAGCCATCTCGGGTGACGCCAGATTCCAGTTGTACACTTATAGTCTTTGAGACTTTTGAAAATATGCTCGATTT